GCAGCAGTGGAAAATGTTTATCACATGTTAACTGGTTGCCTAGTTAATTGGTGGGGAGCTCTGGTAGCGTAGTGCCTAAGGCACTAGAATGCTAACCAGAAGGCTGGCGGTTCAAACCCACCAGCCACTCCTCGGAAGGCAGATGGGGCAATCTACTTCTGTAGTGATACCGCCTCGGAAACCGAAGGAGGGGTCACTATGAGTCGGGTCCGACTCGATGGCACATAACAACAACTGTTAATTGGTGCATAAGTATAGCCTGCGATTGGTCCTTGCTTTTGGGTGGTTTTATTGTGACTCGGAAAAATAAGATGTTGGGCCACATTGATAGCATAAGGTAATATGAAGAAAGCTAAAGTGATAGTAAGGAAAATAAATACTGTAACAACTTAAAGTCCTCACTCTGACTTCGAACACTTGCTGATGCGGGAGATAGACTGTTTTGATGGATACGTAGGCGTCAGTCACTGGAGGATGCCTTCCTGTGGCTGGCTCTCAGGGTTCCTGTAGGGTGATGACAGAAGGAAAATGTCTCCAGCATTAATGGACAGCATCGTTAACTTTTTACGGGTCATGAAGCTGATGAAAAATATGGACCCATTCTTCTAGAAAAAAATATAGATAAACCAACAGAGAAAATTGCTTCTTTGAAATAGTCTTAAGTATTTCTGATTAACAGGAAGTAATCCAAGTGGCTTACAATGGTGTTCAAGGCTTTTCTGGACCACTTCTTATTTGTCTAGCTTATCTGTCCTAATCTTCCTGTTGCTGTAGAGTCAGTTGTCCTATTAGTCACCTAATGGAATCTTGTTTTCTCCCACTAAACTCTTTAAGTCTCCAACATAGATGCTGTTACACCAATAATTGGTGATTTCCAACTTAAAAAAAAAAAAACCTTTCCAACACTGTTTGAAATGCTACCTTTAACATAAAACAAAATGCTCATATATAAATTTACGTGAATCTGGTCTGGACTTTATTGTTCTGTGTTGTTTATTCTTGATCTAAAACCTTACTTTCTTTTAAATTATTGTAGTTTTATGACAAATTTTGCCATCTGATAGGGCAAATTCTTGTAATATTATTCAATTTTTAGTTGACTTTTTTTTAACATTATATTTTCCAAATGAAGTTTTTGAATCAATTTATCAAGTTTCAAGAGCTACCTGGGGGATACATGTGATTAAGCACTTGACTACTAATCAAAAGGTTCATGGTTCGAACCTACCCAAAGGTGCCTAGCAGACAACCCTGGCAATCTGCTTCTGAAAGGTCTCTGCTGTAAAAGCCTATAGAGTAGGCACACATAGGATTACCATGAGTCAGAATCAACTCTGTGGCTACTATGAACAATGTCAAGTTCCACACCTGATACTGTGATTTTGTTTGATGGTGTATTAAATATATAAGTTAATCTGGGGGAGCATTGACTCCTTTCAATATTGTTTATATTTTCAGAAGTATGGAATGGCTTTCCATCTATTTAGATAGCCTTTTGTATGCTTCAGTTAGACTTTACTAAAAAACACAATTTTGATTTCCTATGATTACACCCACCAGCCACTCCTCGGAAGGAAGGTTGGGCAATCTACTTCCGTAGTGATACTGCCTCGGCAACCCAAGAAGGGGTCGCTGTGATTCGGGTCCTACTCGACGGTACATAACAACAACAACAACGTGATTATACTTCAAGTAACAAAATAATTTGTCATAATTATATCTACACATACATGTATGTTTGCATGTAGGTGTATATATAAGTGTGTGTGTGTGTGTGTGTGTCTCAAATTACTTTTTTTCTTTTTTTTAATCTAGGAGAACCATTCAGACTTTTGACTGGTGTTGAATACATTGTTGGAAGGAAAAACTGTGAAATTCTAATTGACAAGGATCAGTCAATCAGTCGAAATCATGCTGTGTTAACTGCTAACTTTTCTGTAATGAACTTGGTATGACACTAATTTTATTTTACTAGTTTGCGGTAAGGTGATTGAAATCACAGATGATTGCCTTGACACGTTTGTAGGAGAGACTTCTTAACACTTTTCATTTTACAAAACTATTAGATCTTTTTTTTTACATTATTTTTTTTTTCTTCCTTGTCTTTTCTTTTTGAAGTGTTTCCTTCACTCCCTTTCTAGATCTTTTTTAAAAAATATTAAATACTTGTTCTTTGGCAACAGTACCAGTGGCATTTGTTAATTTTGAGGTTTAAAATTTGTGTTTCAGAATTTTACCTAGGTTTCAAAAGCCAGTTTTCTGTGACTTAGAAACTTAGGGAGAGCTGGACATACTCATGTTTATTTATTTAAATATTTATTGAGTGCTTACAGTATGTCAGTGTCTGTGCCTGGTGACAGAGTAGTGAGCTAAACCAAACCAAACTCACTACCACCAAGTTGGACCCAACTCATAGTGACCCCTCCTTGGGTTTCCGAGGCAATACCACTACAAAAGTAGGTTGACCAATCTTCCTTCCGAGGAGTGGCTGGTGGGTTTGAACCGCCAGCCTTCTAGTTAGCAGTCATATGCCTTAAGCACTTTGTCACCAGAGCTCAGACCATAGTAAATCCTGCTTTTAATGTAGCCATGTGAACACTGGCATATTCACAATAAGAATTGATTTGTTTCACAAGGAGGAACAACTGTTGCTTATGTTACATAGCTCCTTTGAATGGCTATTTTGTTTTCATAATGTTTTGTTTGCTTTTTTTTTTTTTTTTTTTAATCATAAATGTGGGCATAAAGGAGCTCTGGTGGCGTAGTGGTTTAAGCATTCGGTTGCTAATCGAAAGGTCGGCAGCTTGAACCCACTGGAGAAAGATGATACAGTCTGCTTCCGTAAAGATTTACAGTCTTGGAAACCTTGTGAGGCAGCTCTACCATGTCCTAAAGGGTCGCTATGACTCAGAATCAGCTTGATGATAGTGGGTTTTAGTGGGGAATAAAAGTGATAAAATATATATACAAATAGTTCAAGTTATGGTAATGTTGTTGGTAATAAGAAAGAAAAGCCATAATTTTGAGCAAAAATTACATATAAACAAATGCTGAATTTATTCAATGATATCTTTAGGTTCGGGGTTTGTATTTTAGGTATAGAGAAACATTATTGTTGAAATTCCTACAGAAAAAGTAAAATTGTTGCTACAGGTATCAGAAACTAGCCTTTAATCTCCTTTTTCTAACTTGACCAGTTTTGACAATGTGTTTGATAATGTTAAAAAAAAAAATTAGGGACAGTGCTTTCATGTTATACATGAAACAGTGTACAAAAACAAAGAATTCACAAATGTGTGAAATTGAGGGATCAGGAAAAATTTTTATTGACTTACAAAAAAAAAATGTATGGTTTGAGAGGGGTAATTAGGGACAACTGTGGAAATTGTGCAAATACTTAACACTCTCAGTTGCTCAAGCCCGCCCAGACGTGCCTTGGAAAAAAGATCTGGCAGTCTGCTTCTGAAAAATCAGGCTGTGAAACCGTGGGAGCACAGTCCTGCTCTGACACCCATGGGCTTGCCATGAGTTGGAGTCCACTTGACAGGAAGTGGTTCGTTTTGTTTGTTAGGAAATTAAAGCAGTTTCCCTATGAGGAATTGCTAGTTGAGTGATCATTCTGAACAGGCAACCAGATCAACGACTATATTGTCTGCTGTATTGAGAGGTTAGCCACCTGTCTATTGCCTGTTCAAAAAGTTGTCAACCTTTTGTTTTGAAACTTCTTCCCCTGGGAATTGTATTTACTGAGTGGAAAAAGATATAAACTTATTTGTTGATTTTCAGAGTCAGGCAGATGAAATCCCCATATTGACAGTAAAAGATACTTCTAAGTATGGTACCTTTGTTAATGATGAAAAAATACAGAACTGTGTCTCCCAGACTTTGAAGACAGGAGATAGAGTTACCTTTGGAGTATTTGAAAGTAAATTCAGGTAAGGATCTTTTTAATTGATATTAAAATGAACCACTTTATTTGACACTGATCACATTCTGAGGGAAAAGAATATTTATGGATGTTGAGTTGAAGACGATGTAATTCAGTACCTCCCTACCCCAGTATTGAATGTTGTGCCACCCTAGAGTGGTAAGCATAGGTGATTGTGGTGGTGAATGAGATTTTGAATGGGCCCAGAGAGCCTTGACTGTAGCTGCTTGGGTTTTGATTCTGCCTCCGTGAAAGTTAATGTTAACTTTGACCAGTGTTTTTTTTTTTGGTAAGTGGAACTCAAGACTTAGGGAATGATAATTTCATAAGGTAGAAAGTTTAGTAGTACATAAAATTAAAAATAACTGCATGTGATATTAGCTTAAAGTACTGTGAGTTGCCGTTTCTATAACTGGTAATCTAACTTGATGCAACTTACTCTCATTCACAGAGTAGAGTATGAGCCTTTGGTTGCATGCTCTTCTTGTTTAGATGTCTCTGGGAAAACTGCTTTAAATCAAGCTATTTTTCAACTTGGAGGACTTTCTGTAAACAGTTGGACAGAAGAATGTACTCACCTCGTCATGACATCAGTTAAAGTTACCATTAAAGTAGGTTCTGCCTTGTTAATGTGCCGAAATTAATTCTGTGAGTTCAGGTTCAGTCAGTTACCCACCATATGTAGACTTTTAAGTCATTTATTTTAAGAACTATCAAAACTGTTAAGTTGTGGACTTAAAATTCCTACCCATGCCTTTGTATCCTTTGTAGGCCAAAATGGCTTTTCTGATGCCTTGTTTGGCATCTGAGGCAAGTAAATTTACATAAAATTAGATTTTAATTTCGATTTAGCATATCAGAAAATTATTAATGTTATCGTCTCACCAAGAAGATTACTACAGTGTAATTTGTGTTTTCAGTTTAAAAGTGAAACTACTAGCGATCGCTGCTGGTCTTCAAATAAGCCCCTCATCTCTCTTACATCAAGTTGTCTTCCTCCAGTCTGTGATGCCCTCTCATGATCTCATGCTCTTTCATTTAGTATTCACTTACATCCATAATCACAAAGACTTTAAGTTCTTTTTATTTGATACTACTTTAATGTATCCTCACAACTTGTAGACAGATGCAGATTTCATTTCAGAAGATGCTGACTGTGCATTAAAACAGTGATTTATTTTGGTATGTTTTCAGATTTTGCATCTTCATCAGATTTGGTTATACCCAAAACTAACTGAAGAAAGACATTGGGGAGGTGATTTGTCTCCTTTTAAGCAGCTGGATCATAGATAATGAGGGATTGTTTTAGATTAATACTTACAAGGAAAAGCAACAGATATTTAGATTCCTTTATTAGAGTCCATAAAGATCCTTATAAGTTGAATTTAGTAACTAATACAATTATTTACATTAGAATGTATGTATTGTATGTAGCTCAAGAGGTGTCCTAGAGAAAGGCTTGTTGCTTAGGTTACACCTCAAGTTCAGTTGTACCTTGGTGGAGTTATCTCTGATCATGGATCTCTCCTCTTTGCAAGTCTACAGAATTTATAAATTCAGTGGCATTATGAGCTTCAGGAGTACTAATTATGCTAATAAATTCACAGATAATAGATGCCTAAATCAGAATAACCATTTATTAGTTTACAGTGGGAATACACCTTTAGAGGAGCCAGAATATTTACATGTGGGCTGCAACACAGTCCCCTTTAGGATATCAGGGTATCTGAGAAGTGGAATAAGGAATCCTGCCCCTGCTTGGTGGCTGTGAAGTAAGAACAGGCACAGTTGGATGATCTGGAGAGGTGTTTCCTAGGTGGTGACACAGTCTTAACAGATAGCATCCGTTCATAGGAGCGCATACTGTTCTAACACTGGGATACGGATGTCCCCTAGTGGCTCTCCCATTGGAGACATTCTGATTTAGGCATCTAGTATCTGTGGGGTTATTAGCATAATTAGTACTCCTGAAGCTCATAATGCTGCTGAATGTATCAATTTCATAGACTTGTAAAGATGCGAGACCCTTGATCAGAGATAACTCCACCAAGATACAAATTGAACTTGAGGTGTAACCTGAGCAGCAAGCCTTTCTTAGGACATCTCTTTAGCTATAATACATACATTCTAATTTTTATGTATACATATATATATACAGAACTCTAATAAGTATAATAAATTGTATTCTATATCCTAATTTATATATATATATATATATATAAATAAATTTACAGACATATAAAATGTACACCTAGAAAGCTTACCAAATATATATATAAATCATATATATTCAGTAAATTTTCCAGATGTACAGATTTACTTATGTTTATTAAAGATCATTGAAGGTTAGTACCAAAAGAGAACTTTTAGAGCATTTAGTTCAACTTTTAGAAGCACTGGTAGCATAGTGCTTAAGGCATTTGACTCCTAACCAGAAGGCTGATGGCTCAAACTCACCAGCCACTCCTTGGAAGGAAGGTTGGGCAATCTACTTCCGTAGTGATACTTCCTCGGAAGCCCAAAGAGTGGTCGCTATGAGTCGTGTCTGACTTGATGGCATATCACAACAACAACAGTTCAACTTTTATTTTCTGAGAAAGAATCTGAGGCATGGAACAATTAAATAATTTGCCCAGAGTCACATGAACTTCCTCAGTCCAATGTTGTAGTTCACATCATTGCTTCACCCAGAACAATTATTTTGTTCATGTTTGAGCTTTGGTGTCTTTCAGATTTGATTCTTGGGAAACACCCTAAACCTACTTCCTCTCCTGTTTAGGTAATGCTCTGTTATTAGAAGCACAGTCACAGCTTGCCTTAAGTTGGGTTATTTCCTAGAAGTATGCTGAATCTTACTTACATTTTCATTTTCATTGCTGAGGGTTATATATGCTAATCTTTGAACATATTTTGTGGATTCTATTTGAAATGTACAGCTTAATTCTTATGTTAGTTTCCTCCTTTGTTGTTTTTTCTTCCCTTAACTATGTGTACTTATTTTGAGCTTTTACTCAATCCTTAGCAGTTACTCCTTTATTTACTTTCTTAAAAAATAAGTAATTTATATTATTAATTATCCATAGTTTTAATCCATTGTTACAATGTTTATGAAAGTCAATAAAGCTGATAAGATTTTATACCACATGTTTATCTCTTTGTATGTCTTCTCTGAGTTTCTCATTTCTCAGATATACGTTTAATAGTTTAATGTTTGTAAAATTGAAATGCATTTTAAAATTGATTTATATGTCTTATGCTATACTTCCCTGCCCTAAAAAGGAGTTTTTTCTTCATTTTAGACAATATGTGCACTTATTTGTGGATGTCCAATTGTAAAGCCAGAATATTTCACTGAATTTCTCAAAGCAGTTCAGTCCAAAAAGCAGCCTCCACAAATTGAAAGGTATATTATGCATTCTAGATATTCATGTATGTGGAATTATACAATATTTATCCTTCTGGGTCTGACTTAATTGATTCAGCATAATGTTTTCAGGGTTCATCTGTCTCAAAGAATGTACCAGAATTTTATTCTTGTTTATGGTTAAATTAAGGAGCTCTGGTAATGTAGTTGTTATTTCATTTGGCTACTGACCAAAAGGTTGGTGGTTTGTGGTTTGAACCCTCCAGCTTCCCTGTGGAAGAAAGATGAGGTATTCTGCTTCTGTAAAGATATATAGCCTTGGAAATTGTTTTGGTTACCTCTGTGCTGTTCTCAGAAAAATACCACACATAGGATGGCTTGAGCAAACAAGAGTTTATTCTCTTACAGTTTTGGAAGCTTTTAGTCCAAGTTCAAAGTGCCAGGTGCTACGAGGTAGGTGAAATCCCCTCAACCTGGGGCTTCAGCTCTGCCTCCTGCTACCTACCCACTGAAGCTGGAGGCTTTTCTTCACTCGGACAGCTGGTGGCTGCTGAGGCTGACAAGCCCAAGGTTAACAAGTAAAAAAGGCATAGTCCCAATGTTACCAAACAACGTGGCAGGCCACTAATTCAAGTCCAGATGAAGTCCCAAGATTGGCAGGGCATGGCAGGCTGTTGAACAATGACTTGACTACATGCAGGGTTCAAGCTTGCCATAAGCTAGAGACCAATCCCAAAGTTTCTCCTTATATACAGGAAGTAGACCACAGCCCTAAAGCAGCTACTCATCTGCTCACAGCAGATTCCACCCTGGAGTTGATTGCCGGTCTCATCGTGGGGAATAACTACCTCTATCTGCCCAGCCACTCAGCCAGGCCTAGATAACTTGACAACAACCTTAACCACCAAAGAAACCCAATGGGGGTCACTATGAATAGAAATCAAGTCAGTGGTAGTGAGTTTGGTTTTTGGTTTAGTAGCAGTGTAGTTAAAGCATTGGGTTGCTAACCAGAAGGTCAGTGGTTTGACCAGCCACTCTGGGAGAAAGATAAAGTCATCTGCTTCTATAAAGATGTATAGCCTTGGACACCCTGTGGGGCAGTTCTCTCTGTCATATAGGGTCTCTGTGAGTTGGAATTGACTCGATGACAGTGGGTTTGGTTTGGTTTTATTGTTAAATAATGTTCCGTTGTATGCATTCACTACATTTTGTTTATCCACTCATCTGCTGATGGATCCTTGGGTTATTTTTGCCTTTTGGCTATAGTTAATATGCTACCATGAACATTGGTGTACACATGTATTTTTAAAAGTAGAACAAATATCATCAGTTATTTAGAAAACCAGATAGCATGGTGGTATGCATTCTGCCCAGTCAACTAAGTCTGCTCTTGCCTGCAGATAACCAACTCATTTGAGATTGCAGGTTCCAGAAATCACTGCTTTAGACTTAGAGCATCCATTGTAGTGAATTAAAATGCATACATTTATATTCTTAATTAAAACTTTGAATGTTCAATCATGACTCAGATTTACTTTATAAAACATGTTAAGTTGCCAAGGAAAAGTCTGGGGAAGTATGCAAGCAAATTAGTTCTAAAGTACTAGATGGTGGCTCTGATGACTGAGTATTTTTACCACATTAGATGTTAGTCTGTGAAGATAATTAGTTCTTGATTCCTTATTGACTGACTGTCCAGGTTGTGAATTTTGCCCTTCCTTTATTGTCTTCCCAACATCAATATGATATCAGAATAGATTTTTTTTACTAGAGAGTAGACACACTGTCAGGCTGGTCAGTTAGGAATAGCTGTATCAAAAGATCTGATTATACAGGACGTGGAAACTATGAACTGATAAAAGGCTTGAGACTTAGCTCTTGACTTCTCCATTTTCTTCTTTTTCCCCATTTCCATTGGGTTCTTCTAGCATTCTGTTCTATTATTTGTTTAGCTTATATTCTTTAGCTTAAAAAATTTATTCTTTAATTCTTACTTTGGAAATTTTATTTAAACTGAAAATAATATACGTTTTAAAATTTTGTAAGTTTCTCTAAAGAGACCTATAACAAAACACGATATCAGTTCTGAGAATTGGAACATGAACATTATTAATAGGTATTGACAAATACCTATTCAAAGTATTACAAAGATTCTAGTAGACTTTGATGTCTATGCATAACATTAAACATTACTCTCAGCCTTTTGTAATTCACATAGCTTGTCTGATTCATATATGTTTAATATGTATATTGTTAATGTTGTCTACCTTGGATTACATATTTTTATAAAATAAGGAATAATCTTGTTATTCCATGTGGTGCATGTTACCATATTTCTAGATTAAGCATTTAGATGCTTTTTAATCATTGTAATCCAAATAAAACTCTTACTTTTTATTTTTTTAAAATGCTTTAGTGGTTTTGTGGAAGTTAAGCTTTTTAATATCTAAACCAAACCAAACTCACTGCTGTGGAGTTGATCTCAACTCATAGCAACCCCTTCTTGGGTTTCCGAGGTGGTATCAATGGGAAGTAGATTGCCCAACCTTCCTCCCGAGAAGTGGCTAGTGGGTTTGAACCGCCAGCCTTCTTTTAGTATCTAGATAGATACTATTTACAAATTTAATAGCAAATATACAGAGTAATGGATCACTGGAATATTTTAATTGTTTTTACAGTTTTTACCCACCTATTGATGAACCAGCTATTGGAAATAGCAATATTGATCTATCAGGGCGACAGGAAAGAAAAGAAATCTTCAAAGGGAGAACATTTGTATTTCTAAATGCCAAACAGGTAATGTTATAAGCTAAATTTCCCTAACAGAAAACATTGTAAACTAGGATAAATTATTACTATCTGTTATTGATAATGTTAATGCATTTCACATTGGGACTTTGTGTAGCAATGTAAAGTGGAATAAAAAACTGATTAAGCTCTAAAACCTGCTCAGTGACCATGAACGTGATTGATATTTCTTCTTGTTGTTGGGTACTATTGAATTGGCCCTGCTTCAGTTTTGGTAATTAGCAAATTAATTAATTATTAGAGGAGATGGACAGAAAACTTTAAGTCCTAACTTGTTGATTTAGTAAATATCTATTAAATGCCTTCTGTGTGCCTGACTGGGGGTTCCAGGAGGTTATGTTGTGGTGGAAAAAGCATGTAAGTAAGCCTGTAGTTGCAGTACCGTGTGCTGACGATGATGAGGAGAAGTAGAAAATGTGATGATGGGTGGGCCACAGAGGTACTTGGTGAGCTCGTGATCTTCTTTAAGAGTAGAGGCATGTTCAAGAAGTAGAGCCAATTCTACCTCAGTTCTACTTCTGTTTGAATTCTAAACTTGAAGTTTGTAAAGTTATGAAACTATACTCAAGTAATTAAATTTGGCTATGTAATTACTTTTTGTTCTTTTTCTTTCCATTTTTAGCATAAGAAATTAAGTTCAGCTGTTGTTTTTGGAGGTGGGAAAACAAGATTGATAACAGAAGAAAATGAAGAAAAAGATGATTTCTTTTTAGCTCCTGGAACTTGTGTTGTTGATGTAGGAATAGCAAATTCACAGACTTTAATTCCTGACTCTCAGAAAAACTGGATTCATTCAATTATGGATATGCTTAAGAGGTACAGGGTTTTTCTTTATTAGTAGAAAAATACAAAACATTTCATTTCACTTTCCAGTGTAAAAACTAGGAACAAGAGTTAGTATATAGTTTTTTACTGTAGAGTACTAGAAAATTGATTATGTGTCAGTATGCTTGAAGTAGAATCTTTATCTGGAAAGTGTTACCATAATATTTATTTACTGCCATTTCTTATACTTTATACTTTAATAAAATTGATAGAATTTACCTCTCTACATTAATAAGGTAGTGTTTATTAAGTTTTTCTGTAGAACATAAAGCAGTTGCCAAGAGTTAAAACTTAGGTAAACTTTCCCTGACATGTTGAGTTGAAATATATTTGTCCCTTGATAGTTATTATCAAAAAAATGCATTTGGATATTTTTTATTTCTCTTATATAGGTTACTATGGGGGAAATGTCTGTTAGATATCTTAGAATGGTGTTCGTAGAGGGCAAAATAGGGTGAAGGAGCTTGTTCTGCTTACCTAGTGCCACTCTGACAGGAATATACCACAAATGGGATGGCTTTAACAAACAGGAGTTTATTCTCTTACAGTTTGGAAACTTTAAGTCCAGGTTCAAAGTGCCAGCCTCTAAGGGCTGGGTGAAAGTCCCTCGACCTTGGGCTTCAGCTCTGCCTCTTGCTCCCAGGCCACTGAAGCTAGAGTCATCTCTTTACTCAGGCAGCTTCTGGCTGCTGAGGCTAACAAGCCCAAGGTCATCAAATAAAATGGCACAGTCCTGATGTTACCAAAACCACATGGCAGGCTATTAATTTAAGTCCATTGAAAGTCCCAAGGTTGGCAGAGCATGGCAGGCTACTGAATAACACGCCTATATGCAGGGTTCAAGTGTGCCATAAGCTATAGACCCCAAGTCTTCTCCTTATATACGGGAAGCAGACCACATCCCTAAGGCAGCTACACAGCTGCTCACTGTAGATTATACAATGGAGTTGATTACCAGTTTCATCATGGGGAATACTACATCCAGTTGCCCAGCCACTCAGCCAGACCCAGCCAAGTTGATACACAGACTTAACCACCACAGAGCTAAATCCAGGTTTTATTTCCTAGACTTTTGATTGTACTAGTAATCCTGCTGCTGTTGCTGTTATGTGCCATTGAGTTGGAAGCGACTCATAGAGACCCCTCCTTGGGTTTCTGAGGCGGTATCACTACGGAAGTAGATTGCCCAGCCTTCCTTAGCAGGCTTTGTAGTAGCCTGTTAACTAGATTTCTCTACACTTAGCAAAAAGTTGTTAGGGCCTGGGGTATTTATATGCCTAAAAAGGCCAAAGACAGCTCTTTACTGAAGATCCCTTTTTCTTATCCCAGGAGCCCATCTGACCATGGGATTGCTTTTTGTCTTATGGGTTTGCTGAAATAAAAAGTAAAATTTCAGTCATCTATCCCATGAATATTTTATTTGAAGGAGATTTATTGCATGCTGCAAAAAAAACACCGTGTAAACAAAAATACCATCTTGCTACTACAGCAGATATTTACTATGGCTTTATTGTATTTTAGTCTCTGGGAATATAGGGGTAGACAAGATAGCCATGGTCCCTGCCATGTTGAAGCTTAGGAGGAGACAGAAGACAAACAGAAGATTACAAAAGGGTATAAAGGAAACAGAGTAACAGGACAGAGAAGAGATGCTTATTGTAAATAGGGACGACCTCTTTGAGGTACCATTTTACCTGTGACCTAAAAAGAGCTCGTCTTTCAAGGAGTCAGAAGAAAAATGTGCCAGGTAGACCAATGGCAGTAATTACTTTGTTTATGTAATAACTTACCGTGTAGCAGGTAGTGTTCTAAGAGCTTTGCTTATCCTCACACAATCCTGTGTGATACTGCTGTGGCCTCATTGTACAGATGAGGGAACTGAGGCAAAAGCTTGAGCAGAACACAGAAGACAAGCCAGGATGTGAACACAGGCACCTTAATACTAGATTCCATGCTCTTTACCATGTCATGATGATGCCTTTCAGTGTGTACAAAGGTAGGAAACAACATAGCATGCAACCAAAAAAGGTTGCTCAGAGGTTGATGCCTGGATCATGAGTTAACATTTGGTTCTGTGATCTTTGGTCCCACTGATTTGTGTGTGTGTGTGTGTGTGTGTGTGTGTGTGTGTGAAGGAGGGCAATTATATAGTTTCAGAAAGGCTGTCCTTAACGGAACACCTGTCCACTTATATTTGAAATTCTTTTCATACCATAAAATTGTGATACCTCTGCAGAAGGGAAAAAAAAATGGTTGATTCAGGTTTGATAGCATCTTAATAATAAGAGTTGTTAGTTTGAATATACCATTATACTTAAACTATCTTATTCTAACAGGCGGGGTCTTAGGCCTATTCCTGAATCAGAAATTGGATTGGCAGTTATTTTCATGACTACAGAGAATTACTGTGATCCTCAGGGCCAGCCCAGTACAGGTAATTAAAACATTATTTTACTAATTCTTTATTAGCTTTGTTCTGTAAATTGACTATAGGCTATATTCACATTAAACTTGCCGGAATTAACCATACTCACTGTCTTTTAAAACTTACTCACTTATTATTTCGTCATTTACTTATTCAGTAAATATTTATGGCTGCCATGTACCAGGAACTGTTCTAAGGGTTGGAGATAGAGTGCTGACCAAATAAGCAAGGTCCCTACTGTTGTGGGCTTTGTATTCTAAATGTCAGGATTCAGGCAATAAACAGAACACACATGATGTTTCAGATAGGGACAGGTACAAGGAGGAAGATAAAACAGTAGTAACCGACAGCAGGTAATTTTAGATGAGGTGGTTGGAGACGGTCTCACTGAGGCTGTGACATT